GTGGGGGGAGCTGGCAAATCTGAGAGGGTTTGCCAGGTCTGTGGGGATTGTCTGTCCAGGAGTTGAAGGATTCAGTGAGCTAAAAATAGTCTGATTCAGTTTGTGTAGGGGGAGGAGGTTGGAAAAGTGCAGCCCTGGGGCCAGGCCAAGTGGCCAGACTTTTCCAGCCCTGGGGGTGTGCTCCAAACTTGAACACATGTTCAGTTAGCTCAGGCACCAGTTAGCCCAGTCAACATAGCTTAGGTGAACTAAGTTAGAACAGGCCGGCCATTTTTAACCGGTCTAAACTCCGTGAAACATATGTATAGTTCAGCACTTAGATTGACCTAACACCAAATTAAGTCAATCTAAGTGTAACATCTGCACATAGCCTATAAAGACGTAAAGCAAATGCAGCTCCTGTAAAGTAAATGGTATTTCACTAGCTTATGACAGAGCTAATTTTGATCCAGTTTAAATTCACCTGGTTTGTAAATAAATAAAGTTTGTTATAGGACCATCTTATCAGAAAAATGCCACATTTAAGGTCATTGGAAAGGACATGATATTATACTAGAGCTCAAAACTAAATGGCCTCACAGGAATGGACAAAAACAAAACAGGAGTTTTACCAGCTGGATTCTGACTCCAGGTGTGAATGCATACACACTATTGTCGGCTGATCCCCGTTTCATTTCTCCATGAGTAATCACCAGATAGTTGGTGCCACCGATCTGAAACGTCATACAGCTCTGAGGATTCCAGATACTGAAATCCTAAAAGGAGAATTATAAATTAAAATTGGTAATATTGCTTCCATTGCATATAAAAAACAGAGAAAATTAAAACAAAAACGAAACAAAACAAAAAGAATTTACCTCAATTAGAACAAAAATTCCACGCCATTGATAAATTGAAGAAAAACTAGATGGGGTTCTACGCATCAGAACACCATATAAAGAATCTCCTGACGTAAAAAAACACCAGCTACATTCTGACTCTTCCACAAAAGTTTGAAAGACAGATAGCACACTGATACCATCCTCTGCAATAAATTAGAAAACACCAAACACTATTTACTATCAGATTATTCATGGGGTCTTTTCTGTTCTCATCTTTTTTAATTTTACAAACCAAATTCAGATCTATTTTCAAGCAGAAATAACACTATTGATGGCATATTGTATTTTTAATATTATCAACATACCCACAGGCTAAAGCAATGAGATTGTTAAGCAAATTGAGCAATGCATGTATATTTTTGTCATTTGCATTCTTAATACACAAACAAGTCACACAGGTAATTCAAGCCAAATTCTTATTAGGACTATTATGAATTAAACTAGAATACAAGTAAACCAAGGAGAAAAACCAAAAAGAAAATACAAAAGACTTTTTTTTAACCAAGTAAAGAAGGATTCAAACAAAAATTGGTAGAACTTAGACATCTGCTTAATTAACTTTTGAACAAATAAGCATAGCCTTATTTAAATTAAACTGTATAACAAAAAGGTATGGTCTCAATCTTGCACATACTTATGCAGGCAATAATATTTCTTAGGCAGATGTTACACTTATGATACAATTAACCAGTTAATTGAATCTTAAATGCAATGAATGGCATAATGAAGCAGGAAATGTCATAAAATTATTATACAAAAACAATGTAATAATTGTGTGGCTGACTTCTATCACACCTTAAATTGATCATCCATCAGGGTTGACTATACCAGGTCTCCAAATGACCCCAGTACAGTCCCTACTAGCTAACAACTCTCACTGAGCAACAGAGGCTATAACACCACACCAGGGCTCATACTGGTTCCCAGTGGACTCCTGATCCTGCCAAAAACCAGCTGACAGTCATCTAGCAGGGACTGCACCAGGGTTCCAGTCTTGATGTATTCCCAATCTTGCTGACACTCAACTGATTGTCAGCTGGACTGGGACCACACTGGAGCTTGAACCAACCAGAGAACAATCAGCTGATCGTCAGCAGGATCTAGACAAGACCTTTCATGGTCCTGATCACAAGAACATAAGAACAGCCATTTACTGGGTCAGGTCATAGATCCATCTTGCCCAGTATCCTACGTGTCACAGTGGCAGAGGGAGAATTAACTAGGTATGCACAGGGTTTTTCCCACTGTTCCTCTCTCATTTACAGCTTTCAGCATTTAAGGTCTAGGAAGTTCTGATTCAGAGGTTGTGTCCCTAACTCCCATGCTCAATAGCTACTGATGCACCTTTCCCCAAGAATTTGTCCAATCCCTTTTTAAATCTGGCTAAATTGTTAGCTACCATGTTTTGTGGCAATGAGTTCCAAGCTTTAATTACATGCTGTATGAAAAAGAACTTCCTTTTATTAGTTTTAAACTTACTACCTACTAGTT